ACCCAACGCCTACTGGGTTCCTTCGAACCCAGGCGTCTTGGAACCCAGGGCTTGGGTCTCGATGGAACCCAGGCACTGGGTTCGTTCGAAACCCAGGTAGCCTGGGTTTCCCAAGCATCTTGGGTTCAATCGAACCCAAGCTCTGGGTTCGTTCGAAACCCAGGCAGCCTGGGTTTCCCAAGCGTCTTGGGTTCGATCGAAACCAAGGCAAGGCTCTGGGTTCGATCGAAACCCAGGCAAGGCTCTGGGTTCGTTCGAAACCCAGAGCCTGGGTTCGGCTCTGGGTTTCGAACGAACCCAGGAGAAAAAATAAAAAAAAAAAATTCTCTTTTTTTTTTTTTTTCTGTGGATTTGGTTAGTTGGTTGGTTGATGATGATGAAGAAGGCAAGGCTTGCTGAGGAACTAGAGAGCACTGTTGTTCTAGGTTCAAATGGGTTTAGGGAAGAAAGGGGGAGAAGGGTTCAGGTTTTGCAAGAGGTGGGACCTACTTTTTTTACTTGTTTGGTTTTGGGGCAGAATGAGTCATATTGCCGTGTCATTTTTTTCCAGGTGTGCGTTTGAGGTGTCACTTTATTGTTGACATATCATCGTGCTTTTGTTAATCAAGGACACATCACTAGATTTTTAACAGATTTTTAACGGAGGGACTAAATCGGGGTCAAAATGGTAAACAGTAGGGACCAAATCAGGGATTTTTTGAGTTGAGGGACTAAGTCGAGGGTCTGTACGATAGTTGAGGAACTAAAATGGGGGTTTAACCTTTTTTCTTCTATTTATTTTACGAGAAACAACAATTTTAGGACGTTTCGAAAGAAAAATTCTTTAAAAAATAAATTTTCCTCGTGAAAAACCTGTTAAACTCGCTAATGATCTTAACATGCCTTTTCATTTTAATGGTGAGTATTTCAAAAAATGGAAAGGAAAAGTTTTGTATTATCTTAATTTGTTAAATTTGGCATATATCCTCAATGAGGAAAATCGTATTAATAAGTCAACCGAAGGTATGAGTGTTGAGGAAAAGAAATCTCATAAGAAGAAAGTCCAAAAGTGGGAGAAAGATGAATATGGTTGCCAAAACTCTTTACTTAATTGCCTTTTTGATAAGCTTTATGATTATTATTAAAGAACTTACTCCACTGCCAAGGAAACTTGGAATGCTTTGCAAAAAAAATATGACATTGAGGAGGCTAGTGCGAAGATGTATGCTGGTAGCTGGTGGTTGCACTTCCAAATGGTGGATGACAAGTCGGTGGTGTCACAAATTCAAGAGTTACAAATGCTTGTTCATGAGTTCCAATCTGAAGGCATACAAATTGACGACAACCTTGAAGTTGTAGCCATTATTGACAAACTGCCGCCTTCATGGAAGGAGTTCCAAAAGATGATGCATCACAAGCAAAAGGAGATCACCATGGAAAATCTTTTAACTCGTATTCAAGTTGAAGAGGAGGCAAGGAATCAAGATGCTCGAACTACAAGTGGAGGTAATATATCAAAGGTAAACTTTGTTGCCACTAATGATAGCTTTCCCAAAAATAATAATTTTAAATATAATGCCCAATTGAGATCTAAAAAGAAAATTGTGAAAAATAATTATGGGAGCCATTTTGCTGGGAGACCAAGTCAAAATTTTAAGAACCAAGGACCTCCTTTGAAACAAACTAGCAATGCATGTTTTGTGTGTGGCAAGCCTGGGCATGCTGCTGGAGTTTGCAAATTTCAAAAGCATGGACTTACTCCACAGGTCAATGTAACTGAGAAGCCCTTTGTGGTGATCTAATCTGACATAAACATGCTTACTGGTGGTGAGGGATGGTGGATTGATTCTAGTGCTGTAAGGCATGTCTGTAAAGGCAAATCTTGGTTCAAAACATATTTTGAATATGATGTTGAAAAAGAAGTGAGACTTGGTGATGGTCATACAATCAAGGTTCTTGGCCAAGGAGAAGTGGAATTGAATTTTACATCTGGAAAAACATTGACTCTCAAATATGTGCTTTACACTCCTCAAATGAGGAAAACTTTAGTTTTTGGATTTCTTCTTAGTAAGGCTGGCTTTAATTAGGTTTATGAATCTGGGCATTATGTTTTGACTAAAAATGACATATTTGTTGGAAAAGGCTATTCATGTGATGACATGTACAAGTTGAATATTGATATGAATAAAGTTCATTCAAGTTCTATTTATATGATTTCTAAGACTGTTTGGCATGCTCGTTTATGTCATAATAATAATAAATATATAAAAAATATGAGTAATCTTGGATTAATACCTAAAGTAAATAATGATTTTGAAAAATATGAATCTTGTAGTTTGACTAAAATCACTAAAAAAAACCTTTTTAAAGTGTTGAAAGAAAACTGATTTATTAGAATTAATACACACTGATATTTGTGAATTTGATGGAGTTTTGTCGTGTGGTGGTTATAGGTACTTTATTACTTTTATTGATGATTTTTCAAAATATACTTATATTTATTTGATTAAGCATAAGAGTGATGCTTTTGAAAAATTTCAAATGTTTTTAAATGAGGTTGAAAACCAATTTTGAATGAAGATTAAAAGGTTTAGAAGTGATAGAGGTGGTGAGTATGATTCAAATGATTTTAACAAATTCATACAATTTTTAAGTATTATTCATGAGATTACTCTGCCATATTCACCTTCTTCTAATGGTGTAGCTGAATGTAAAAATTGTACTTTAATTGATTTGACAAATGGTATACTTGTTAGTTCATGTGCACCATCTAATTTGTGGGGTGAAGCTGTTTTGACTGCATGTTATATTTTAAATCATATTCCTAATAAGAAGACCAACCTTACTTCTTTTGAGTTGTGGAAAGGCTATAAGCCAAATCTTAGCTATCTCAAAGCTTGGGGATGCTTTGCTTATGTAAGATTGACAGGTTCAAAAAGACCAAAGTTTGGTGTAAAAGCTGCGACATGTGTATTTATCGAGTACACAACTACAAGTAAGGCATATAGATTCCTTGATCTTGATTCTAATTTTGCTTTGAAGCTGTAGATGCTATATTTCATGAAGATAAATTTCCTTTTAAACTTAAGAAAAATGGAAGTTATGATTTTTCAAAGCAAAATGATTTTGAACCTAGTTCCTCAATTTCATCTCATTTTCAAAACCAAGATGACATAGATTTTGACCCTAGGAGAAGTAAAAGGACACGTAAAGAAAAAGATTTTGGTTCAGAGTATTATGTATATAATATAGATGGAGAACCATTGTTTTTTTAAAAAGCTTTAACTTTTTCTGATTCTGATTTTTGGAAAGAAGCTATTAATGATGAAATGGATTCTTTGATTTCTAATAAAACTTGGAAGTTGGTAAATTTACCTCCTAGTTGCAAAACAATATGATGTAAATGGGTTTTGAGGAAAAAACTTTAAATTGAATGGAACCATCGATAAATATAAAACAAGACTTGTTGTAAAAGGTTTTAAATAAAAAGAGGAACTAGGCTTTTTTGACACATTTTCACCTATAACAAAAGTGACTTCCATTAGAGTACTTATAGTTGTAGTTGTTGTTCACAATATGTTCATTTATCAAATGGATGTTAAAACAGAATTTTTAAATGGAGACTTGCATGAAGAAATTTACATGGATCAACCTGAAGGTTTTGTTATGCCTGGCCAAAAGGACAAGATATGCAAATTGACTAAATCTTTTTATGGTTTGAAACAAGCTCCAAAACAATGGCATGAGAAATTTGATATTTGCTCGATAGAAAATGGTTTTAAGTCAAGTGAAAGTGGTAAATGTATATATTTTGGATTTTTCAATAATTGTCATGTTATCATATGTTTGTATGTTGATGATCTCTTGATTTTTGGTTCAAGTTTAGAGGTGATTAACATTACTAAATCATTGTTAAATAAGCATTTTGACATGAAGGATTTGGGTGAGGCTAATGTGATTCTTGGCATGAAAATAACTAGAAATTATGATGGAATTTTTCTTGACCAATGTCATTATATAGAAAAAATTTTGAAGAAATATAACTATCATAATTCTAGACATGCTATGACGCCTTTATCACCTAGTGTGCATTTGTATCCCACTTTGCATGATAAAGACATTCTCAGCCAAAAGGAATATGCTAGTATCATTGGTAGTTTACCATATCTTACTGATTGCACAAGACCTAATATTTCTTATGCAGTTGGAATTCTAAGGAGATTTACTAGCAAGCTTAATTACTTCCATTGGGATTGTGTTAAACACTTAATGTGATATTTTTGTGCTACCAAAATCATAGTTTATTTTATCAAAAATACCATGCTATACTTGAAGGATTTTGTGATGTTGATTGGAACACCTTGTTAGGTGATTCATTATCTATTTCAGGGTACATTTTTAAGATTGGCAGTGAAGTTGTGAGTTCGAAATCTAAAAAACAACAAATAATTGTAGAGTCAACTATGGAGGCAGAGATGATATCATTAGCACTAGCTTTCAAAGAAGCTAGTTAGCTAAGAGTTCTGTTGTCTAAAATTCCTTTATGGGAAAAACCAGTGCCTCCTATTCTCATTTACTATGATAGTACTGCTACCATTTACAAAGTGAATAACAATTTTTATAATTGAAAATCCAGATCTATTCGAAGGAAACATAGTATTGTGAGGTCCTACTTGAATAATGGGCCAATTCACATGGATTATATACTATCAAGTGAAAATATTACTGATTCATTTATAAAAGCTCTGGCCAGAGAGAAGATCTGGATTACATCAAGGGGAATGAGATTGAAGCCCAAAGAATGTGGAACTTCCTATAAGGATACCCAACCCAATGATCAAAATTCTTGAGAATTTGGGTTTTGAATGGGAAAAACGAATCATAGAGAGGTCGTTGTTAAAAGATGCATGAAAAAAAAAGGAGGAAAAAAAAAATCTTATCGCATTTCTAAGGTGTAAATGCATTTATCCCATAATGTATGTGAGGGTTGAGTGTTATACACTCTTAATGAAATTTGTAGCTCATTGAGTGGGGTGTCTTAGTTATGGGAATACCCTTGACAAATTTCACCTATATGAATATTAAAGCGGGGCCACTTCCATGAGAATAGGGCTATTCTCTATATCATTCATGAATACTAGGATTAGGCACAAAGACCGTAATGCGTCGGCTTACCAAGCTCAAATTAACACTTGGACTATTATGCGTGTGATATGGTCTCCTATACCTTCTGAGTAATTCTGATTCAAGACTTTGCTCACTAGTGATTTTGGGATAGAAATCATTAACTCATTGAGTAGGGGTTCAAGGTATTGCTACCTCTACTATGCATAAAAATCCATTCTTGCCTATAAATTCTTTATCTTCTTAAATTCTTTTATTTTTAATTAAAATAGAGGGGGAATGTTATAGATTTTAATTAAAAAAAAATTCAAATCATTTGCACCCAATCGGTTACAAGTTTACTTTTTTTATAAAAAAAAAAAAAAAAAATTTGTGCAGTTACAAACCCATGGTTTCTTGGATTTGTGCGTTTTTCTTAAAGAATAAAATCAAATTCAAATGCTGCAACCGGCTCCCAAATCACTCACCAGTTTCAAATTTTGTTTTACTCACTAGTTAAAAATTTTTTTTTTTTTAACCCACAAATGCCATTTTAAATTCCAACAGTTTCTCATTATTATTTACTCCGGTTATGCAGCTGTGTGAAGCCCTATAAGTAGGTAGCTTCCATTTATACGAAAAAGGCTGATACAATTTTTATAATTTGCAGTCTTATTCTACCAACAAAGTATTCAAACTCTCTATGGATAAGGAAAAAGTGGTGGGGCTAGGGCATTTTTTATAGGAGTATAGTATTTGTAAAGATACAACGAAAAAAAGATTAGATTGTTGTATTTCGGAAGTAACGTGATTATAAAAATTATTGTATTAATGACACGAAACATCATAAAAAGAGCGATTGATCCATATCTTAACTCAAGTACTCATACTTTTGGTAATATTTTTTTACTTTTCATCTTTAATTCACTATTTTACTAATTTTTTGTCTATTTTTTCTTCTATTTGTTTTATGAGATACAACAAGTACAAGTTGAATTCTTGAAACAAGGGTGTGATTATCAACACAAATAAAAACATTAAGATTATATAAATTATATTTAATTTAATTAATATTAATTTATAATTTGTTAATCAATTAATTACAATATTTGTAAATATTAATTTATAAATTAATTTTATTTTACTAATTAATAAACCGATACAAATTCATGAGACCAAAAACACATAACAAAATTACAAGATGAATGATCAACACCATCAATTTGGTGTCGGACCCCATAACACTAATGGCTGTAAACCTTTCGTTCTCTTTTCTCTGATTTTTTTTTTCTTATTTTATCATATTTCATAGCAAATATGAATTTTTTTTATTAATTATTGATTATTTTTAATAACTAAATTAAACACAATTAATATTTTTAAGACAATATGATACCACCTTAACATTTTTATATATGTCAATAACCACATTCCCAAGCTAGCCTTAAGATCCAATCCTTGAGAGCAGACAATTCTCTCTTGGCCATTGTCAAAAGATCAACTTGTATACAAGCAACAAGGAACTGCCAATTCATGCCATTATCACTTGGCTCATGAGCGGGCAAAGACTACCATAGACGGAAATTGGGATGCTATCAACATGGGAAGATTATCAGCACAAATTAGATACATTCAAGCGGTAGAGAGTGATCTACAATTACATTTACAAAATGCTTTTATTCATGCCCTTCTAATTTTTTGTATTACTCATTGCACTAATGGCTGTAATCTTTACGTTCTCTTTTCTCCTCTCATATTTTTTTTCTTATTTTATCATATTTCATAGTAAATACGAATTTTTTTTTAATTATTGATTATTTTTACTAACTAAATTAAACACAATTAATGAATCAAGCTTTCAAGCTCAATGATTTGTTATTAAGTTTTAGTATTTTGGTTTAATTGATTGAGAGTTCAATTTTCACTAACGATTTGAAAAAAATCTCTCACCTTCAAAATTCTCCTATATTCAATAATAATGATAATAATAAACATAATTAATATTTTTAAGACAATATGGGTATCATGTTAACATTTTTATCTATGTCAATAATCACATCCCCCAGCAAGCCTCAAGATCCAAGCCTTGAGGTGGTGTTGTCCATTGTCAAAAGATCAACTTGTATGCAAGCAACAAGGAACTGCCAATTCATGCCATCATCACTTGAGCCCTGAGAGGGCAAAAACCACTATATACGGAAAGTGGAATGGTATCAACATGGGGAGATCATCAGCACATAGCGGTAGAGAGTGATATACAATTACATCTACAAAATGCTTTTATTCATGCTCTTCTAATTTTTGTATTACTCAAGTTTCAAGGAATGGGATGAATAACCACTTTTCCGGTAGCATGGTTTGTTTCAATGTAAGAGAAAGCCTCGGCAACTTGTGAAAATGGGAAAGGGCCCTTTGGATCAACCACTGGCTTCACCTTCCCGCTCTCCAAATATGGATTTAGTTTCTTCAGGACTTCCCCATTGGAGGTAACTACGAATCTAAATCCTGGTGGGGTGACAGCACCTGTCAAGGCCACCACACTACCGCCTTCCTTCACAGCCTTCACTGCCCTATCACATTGCCCTGTCACACATAAGAGGGGAAACAAAAATGTTATTCAAATGGTTACCAACAATTTCTTCTGACAATTCATCCCAGAAATGTTCCTTGATGCTAAGAAATCTGGATTCAGAATCATTTCGATACCATTCGCTCAACATGATTATGGGAAACTATAGCCTTAGCAACGAAAATCCTCAATTCATTAGTTGTGCATGTCAAAATGCCTAAACCTATAGTACATTAACTATGTTTTCTGAGGATCCCTTAGGATAAAAGATAATACTAATACTTCTCCTAAGAGAGCAATAGAATAAAATCTTACCAATAGCATCATAGACTACGTCAAATTTTTCTGGCAAATCTTCAAAGTTCTCCTTTGTGTAGTCAATAGCCAATTCAGCACCCAAGGATTTCACAAACTCCAGTTTTCCTGTGCTTGCAGTGGCAGCAACTTTAGATGCACCAAATACATGTTTTGCCAGCTGCAACATTGAGAAGAAGATATCAATGAAACCAATAAAATGCAGTAAGTTTAGAATGTAGAAACTACGCTTTAAATTACTAAATCAAATCATTCCAATCGCAAAGCCTTGTAGTAGTGTTGCAATGTCTTATGCCAAAATTTTGAAATCAGTCTATAACTTGGTATGATCAGTGATGAGCCAAACCATTGTGGCAAGCAAAAATTATCCAGAACAAGGTGTCAAATGTCATACCTGAATCACTAGGCTCCCAACACCACCAGCACCATTCAGAACAAGAATGGATTTTCCTTCCGAAAATCCTGTCCTCTCAAGACCTTCATAAGCAGTCTCAATAGCAAGAGGAAGCCCGGCAGCCTGGACAAAATCAATGTTCTTGGGTTTAAGTGCCAATAGCTTCTCCTCAACAGCAGTATACTCAGCAAAAGAGCCAAACTGTTTAGGCCCTTCTAATGCTTTCTCATTAATGTTCCCATATACTTCATCCCCTTCCTTTAGCTCCTTTACTTGACTTCCAACCTTCACCACCACGCCGGCAACATCATAGCCTGGAACAGTCTACATTTAAACAAAGTTACCTATCTGTGAATTATTCGAAACATGTAATCAATGAATTCTAATCTCAATTATACGAAACACATACAAATTGTAGAAATGCAGCTACCAGGCATCAAAATTAGAACCACAAAATTCTTGCAAGTATATAAATTGATTATTCTTCAAATTGACATTTCTTAAATAAAATGGCTTATAAAGGCTACAAGAATGAACACCAACAGGAATATATATAAAGGAAAAAAAAATCAAAAAACTCTACAATGCTTTCATTGAGAGTCGAACTCAAGACCTCCCGCTTACTAAACGGGTGCTCTAACCAACTGAGCTATGAAAGCTTCTTGACAATCTGGGGAAATGTGGAATAACATTTCTTAATTCTCATCAACAATTGTAACTTGACATTCTAAAGTCTTCCAATTTATTTTCTAGCAGTTTCTCAGTAACCAAACAAACCCAAATAAAAGAAAATTCAACAATTAAGAAAACAAAACAAAACAAAAAAAAAAAAAAAAAAAAAAAAAAAGAAAAGAGCCAGAAATAAAGTGATTTACCGGAAGAGGAGAATCGGTAGCCTTGAACTTCCCCTGCCTCCTCTTGGCATCAACGGGATTAAGAGCCGCAGCAATCACCTTTATCAGAACCTGATCCTCCTTCACTTCCGGCACCGCCACTTTCTCATCAAACTTCAAAACATCAACACTCCCATATTCCCCATACACCCATGCCTTCATTTCACTCGGCACGGCAGCCACTTTCGCTGTCCCAGCCGTGGCAGCGGTGGATTGAGAATTTGCAGTGACCCTGAGTGGAGCGTAACGAAAAGAGGTTGTCTTGAGAGAGCTGGTGCTTGGGAAACTGGGTTTGATTGTTTTTCCACGGAAACTGAAGGAAACCGCGGCCGGAGAAAATGGGGGAAGCAAGTTCCTGAGCTGGGAAGTTGGGGCTGGAATTGTGGATTTCATGGTTCTCGTGTGGTGGACTGAGCACACAGCCTAATCCCATCGTCATCTCTGCTTTATCATACAGTGTTCGT